GGGTACCAGGAAAGTAGTCACTTCCCTTAGCTTTCTTGCTCGTTCTTGGGTAACGACGCATACTATTGTGGACCATGATTCGTGTGTCCGTAGAACAATTTCCACTAGATAGACAGAGAATATAAATCGCCTCCTTTTGGTTAACACTGTAGTCAATACTGTAGTGAATGTGCTGAGACCCTAAACATCAGAAACATCAACGCATAAAAAAAAGTATCAGAATATAAAGTTTGTCAAAATGCTGTTTGACTGAAAAAACTGTACCTTTACTAAATTCTAACTGTTTTTATACACATTAAAGCACCGTTTTAAGATTGCCCTAACTTTCTATTCAAAAGAGAGGTAAAAAAGGTTTTTATTTCCAGGGTACCCTGGCTTTCATCTACCGCGCACTGAAGCCGGTGAATCCCTACCAATGGCTCGGGCCACAATTGGCCCGGGGCCCCCGACTTTAATAACTTCTGGCAGGCCATGGCAATTCGAGGCTGCAATCGACAGAAAAATAGCCATGACCCTCTGTACATGTTTTTTATACAGTATACAAAATAACGATGTGTTTGTAATATACGTCAAAATCACCGCGAGTTGAGGGCAAAGATTGTACGTTTTCCTGACGGTTTTTACGAGATACTAATAAAAATCATAAAAAGCTAGAGAGAAGGGGCGGCGGACGAAAACGCTCCCCCCGCCCGTCAAATGTGTGTCCGTCGACGATGTAACGTCGGTTTGTGTGTGTGCCTCCTCTGCCGCCTCTCTTGCGACGAGGTTCACACCAATTTTGAAATGGGCAGATTTCACGTTATTCCCAAAAAAATCGTACATTCCCGCCATTGTGCTCGTTAAAACAACTTTGTAAATCGGTTTTCACGTGGTGTAAGTCTGCAAAATGCTTTACGTAGCCCAAGCTGACAGAAAGATCATCGAGCCATCGGGGTAGGTGTTCATTGCAAAGGTGTAGTCATACATACGATCGTCGTTGTGTGCCTCAATTGATGTAATAGGTTTGTACCCAATTACTTAATCTCCTTTGACTCAATAAATAAAGACAATAAAAACAAGTGTTAAACAAATCAATCAAATGGAATAAAAAAGAGGTTTTCTTGGCTATTTTCATTCGCATTTTCTGGCCGTGGCTATTCCCATAGCTATTTTCATCATCATGGCAATTTTGGAATGCTATGGGTAGGGATAAGCAGTGAGATATTTCGAAAAAAAATTTTTTCCTCCCCCGACTCGAGGTGCTACGTCGATGACAGATTTCCCTTATGACGGAACTACTTTGCGGTATAGTACCTAATAGTTCCTAATAAAGATTTTGTCATACCTCGAGTTTCCGAAACAGAGAACGGCCACTCAAGGAAAAAATAAAGGACGAAGAAGTGTGTGTACGAGACACGGCATTGTCCATCGAGACTCACAATCGCTACGATTACATTTGTGACTGGTATAATGCAGGTTTTGTCAGCCCGTAACAAAGACTACGTTGCAAAGACTATCCAAGCACACACATTCGGTCGGATGTAAAGGCTATAATGCAATATAGCCTGCGTTTAGACCTAGGCGAGGACATGGGGGCAAAAATCTCTAAACCCATGTCCCTTTTTCTCTCAAAATAAAAGATGCGACGAACTAAGGGACTGTGTCTCCAGTGTAAATACATATTTTCTGGTAGTTTTTCACGAAAACGTACTATTCCAGGGGAAATTGAATTTATTTTGTTATGCCTTATTAAACAAAGAAACACAAACCTAGTGGTCTTTTCATCAGGGGGCGTCACGACCACCTGACCTCGGACCGTGGTACCTGGAGTCACTTCCAGACCAGGGAAACCAGGTCTAAGCAAAATCCTGTCTGTTGAAAACAGAAATCCATCCTACATTTTGTTAAGAACAAAATTGACCCTATTCAACCTAAAACAACCCTCTCATCTTGAAATCTTGATAGTCAAGGAAGAAACCTAACGAACGGAACAACATACCGTGACGAGTGACTGTATTTAACACAAACGTTAATTTGCTTCGTGGACCCATCTAAATCCTGCACAACGGTGTACAATATCCTCAACACACAAACGTACCTGTGTCGGTCTCGCCTCGACCATTATTGACCCGATTCCCAGTGATGTGACTCCTCGGCTCGACGCACCGAGGCCAGGACCTACAACCACTCCTTCTCCGCCTCCCGACGCTGAACGGACGTCCGAAGGTCGAGTGTGTGAGGGACCCCACCTTGGACCAAGTCGTACGTGCGTACGCTAGTCGTTTTAGGGCTCTTCTCAAAGGTCTGGCGTCGTACCTGTGAGTCGCACACGGAAGCGATTCCAGAATAATTATGTGTTTTGAGGTTGTAATTGATAAATGGATAGCAATGAAGACGAATTACGACGAGGGAGAAGGAGGAGCGTAGGTCCAAAGTTGTGGTCACCACCTCGGTATGTTGGGTGGGAGACCAGGTGGTCGACACTTTGTTTCACTCTGGCGGTTACTTTGGATATGTAGACGAAGCGGTGGTGACTTGAGTGGTGCGGTGACGCTCCTGGAGTTGGTGGCAGAGTGGTGCGTTGCTCAAGTTAGCTATTTAGCTAGTAGCAAGGACGTTAGTTAGCATTACAGTCTTAGCCTTGTCATTTTTATTAGCCTTAATATGAAGTGACATTAAGTAACCCAAAATGTTAAACAGTAAGAGTAGTAGTCATATTTCGTGAACCCTTTGAAGAGTACTGTCACACACTGATCATTCTATAATACACCAATTAAGCCCGGGGGAGAAATGCTAACGTTACATTAGCACCCGCGATCTGTTCTACTTCATGCTATCTGCACAAATGGTTGACATTAAACATTAAAAAGACCAGAGAGTTCAGAGAGAATCAAAGGAAGGCAGGCAGGCAAGCAGCTTTGCATGACATTCTTCTGGACGTGTTTCATTGTGGTGATAGTGAGGGTAGTCAATCGCTTTGTTGACAAGACAGTAGTGACGGCCATCTTGGTGACGTGTGTTGTTGTGAGAGTCTGCGAGACCAGAGATGTAGTTCATTAAGCGTTTCACACAAAAAAATGTGTTACTACACAGTTTTACGACACATTTTTATTTTTTTGACTTGCAAAATTATCTTTTAAATTGACAAACATCATATGTGTAATTCGTGGCACAATTCAATCGGGATCGAAAGATAATCTTTCTCTCTCCATTGACTTCAATACATAATTTTTTCGAAATAAGGTCCCATGGAGCTCCCCTGGAAAGTGAGGGACTTCGCCACTCGCACTTTTGAAACAGGAAGTGAAATGGAGGGATATGAGGCATGGCTACAATGGGTGATCTGTTTGGTATTTTGAGCAAAACAATTCAGACATGTTTTTTTATATATTTGTAGGCTATATATCTGAGACCTATATGCTATTGCCTAAAAATAGCATGATAGGTGACCTTTAAGCATTATTTGTATTTTTTTTTATCGCTGCATTATGACTCAAGCAAACCCCTGTTCGTCTTCATGTTAAGTTTAATAACATACTTTGCCTATGAAATTATGAGCATACACAGCAAAAAGCACATTGTAAGCTAAATTATATAATTTAAAAGAAATGTGTGGGCATGTTAATACAGTCCAGTGTTCTTACAGCAGACAGTTACACCTAATAACAGAATAAAAACAAAGTTACTCGCTAATTCTTGTATATTATAATAAGTTAAAGGTGCAGGGCTCGACATTAAGGACTGCCCGATGGCCCGGGGCCATCTAGTATTTAGCTCGGGCAATGAAGCCTCACCTGCTGGTTGCCCGATCGGACAATCTATTATGCCAGTATCATGCAGCTCGAGGATCCAGTAATGAGTGACCCGACAGTAAAACTAAACATATCTATAACTAGTTTAGGTAGTTTGAGAGGTAATTAAAATAGCTACGTGTGATATTCTAACCTGAAGTGTGTGTTTTGTCCGCTCACCGCTGCATGTGATCATGCAGAGCTGCGTGTCGACTCGTCAGCAGCAGCTGATCTCTTTCTCCCGTCAGATTAGACTTCACTCGCGTTTATGTCCATATCGATCAGATCTAGCTAGTTCTAGCTAATGATAGGACTACCTGCTTATTAAAAGACACCTAAACAATAAGCGTTGCTATGCAACCGGGTGAGGCCGCAAAGTATAGCGCAGCATTATGCATTTGTTTACATGCCCACAGGAACCCCGAGGCATTACCAACAGATCAACGCACAATCAACCCATACAGGACATCTCTTTCTCCACATTAAGTGTTAGACATTAGAATTGACTATTCTTGTCTGTCACATACTCTTCTTGTCTGTCATATAAGTGGCGCAACTGAAGCGGTATTGCGCTAAACGGAAATTATTTTTGAACGGACACTTTGACCGGAGAGATTGAGATTTGCCGGTCTTCAGCATATTTTACCGGTCGTAGTCCGGTAATTACCGGCTAACGGGAACTTTTAATTCTGCTTCTGTCGACAAGCCAGATTTGAATAAAATCAGCATTTCCTGTGTTGAATCAAATGTTGATTTATCAGAGACAGACATTTAAATGTGACAGGATGTTGGTTAAAGAGTTGTATGAGTGATGATATGCCCCCAAGGCATCAGTCCAGAGATCATTTAGCGGTTAAATTAACTCTGACTGGTGTCGACACCTCACTTGATCCGGACTTGACACACGTCAGGTGACAAAAGGTCCGTGTTCAACAGAGTTTTCCTCCCCGCTCCATCTCTGTAGCGTAATATTAATTCTAATGCAATCAGAGGAAGATCAACAATAAAGCGTGGGACGAGTAGTTCAAAGCACCCGAGGCGAGAATATATCATTTTAATTTGTGGCCCTTTTTCTTCAGTTTTCCCTCTGGAAATAAGTAAATGGCCTAGTTATACATTTAGCTTGTGAAGTTTATTAATATCGGTTGGCGGACTGTCAATTATGTTTGCTACAGCCTTTTTAGGAGGGAGGAGATCACATTAGGAGCCAAATGCGTGGAGCACATTTCCTTAGCCTCAAGTAAATTGTATTATTTATAAATGTCTCCTAATTATTGAAATTTGAAACTGTGTGTGTGCTTGTCCACTTTAAAATGAATGTGAAACAGAGTTTAATCGTTTACTGTATAACTTCATCGTATTATTTATGTTTACAGAACCTGTTTAGACTGTTGATAAAGCGGTTTTGAATATGAGACAGTAAAGTGTTTATTCAGTGTTTTCCTCTTCAGTAAAGTCTAACCGACGTGATTAAACCATCAATATTACCAGCTTATATAACACGTTTGTTTACATCCCGTTTCTCATCTTGTTTAAATTGTCTTTTATTCTCATTATGTTGTTTGTTTTTCTGCTTCTCGCTGAATTATTTTACTGCTGCAGAGATGTAATGACCGCGCTGGGATCAATAAAGTTACATCCAATCTTCAACGCTTCCTTCATCTGAAAACCTCTGCTGATAAACACTCAATAGGCACTGAGTGTTTGGTGAGCAATGGAGAGCATAGAAACATCTGCACCAACATGTCTCTCTCTTATTTACATTTGGACTCATACATTGCTGCTAGTGAATTTTGCTGTTGAGAAAATACTATTTAGTTTGTCTTGTCACAATATAAGTGAGTGTTTTTGTACAAGAGGACAACCATCTAATAATGGATTGTCTTGTTCTTTGTTTAACTCTCCAAGAATCAATTTGGTCCTCAAAATCTTAATTACTTGAATCCTAATTAGGGAACAATTGACATTTAGGAAACTCATGGATCATTATTTTCTGTCGTGACTAACAAGTGTGGAGTCACTTAATTATCATTTGTAGGCCTGTCATATTGGCAGAAAAGACAACACATTGCATCCTGGGAATTTTTTCTCATAAAAAAGTAATTCATTGACGGAGCGCACTTCTTTTTAATGGTAATGCGGTTTGGATTGTAAATGAGGAAAAAGGAAACGCCTGCACACTCACTCCAGGCCAACATCGTTTTTTTTTATAGTTTGATCTTTCAATGGTTTCAAGATGTGTTATCACCTGGGGTTTTCTAAAATATTTAATTTAACCAGATAAAACCAATAGATATCAAATATGTCTTACTATGCTGATCTGACCAAGGCGGCCATAGAGCTTGTTTGCCTAATAGTGAGTCTTATGATTAACCATAGGTGTGCTTGTCACTTTTCAAACATTAAGACCTAACGATGATCCAAATTGGACCAAAATGCATCATTAAAACGTTTGATGCTGTGAGCTATTCTGCAGGCTTATCCCTTATCCACTTTGAGGTTGTTTTTGTGAAATCCTTGCGCCTACGTGATGTAATATAATTAATCTTATTTAACCTGGCTTGCAGATGTGACTACATTTAAGATGGAATTACATAATGCAAGCATCCTACAGATAATTATCTTAAAATACCCTCAGTTCTCTTTACTCAGATTGTCATGTGACTGACCAGAGTGTGAATCCCACCCGTCTGCTGCTCCCTGCCGACTAAAACAAACGCCCCAAGTCATCTGCAGCGGTGTGACCCACTTCTGAGTCCGTCTCCATCTCTGTGTTTGGGAAAGTTTGTACATCACATTTCCATCTCGTCTCACCTGAGTCGGTATCTGTGCTCTCAGGATGTTCTGCTCTGTTTCCATGGAGACGCCCTGGGCGGTGGTGGCCATGTTGGGGCTGTGGCTGTCCGTCGCGGGACTTGGCATCGCGGGCCGAGCGGCGCCCGTTCTTTCATCAGATACGTTCCCAAAGGCCACGATGGAGTTTTCTGAAACACAAGAGAAGCGGAGACGTTGAGTGGAAAGGGGCCGAATGGGAAAATCTGTGCCCATTTTCACAGCAGCTCCCACATCTAGTTTCCTCATTATTTTGTATTCTACACGTCTCTTTGCAATGTGATTGGTCACTATATAATTATCTACTGGAGGACTGTAATCATAAAGTGGTCATGGCGTGGAGAACAACTCAACCTCTCAGGGTGAGTCATCAGGCTGCTGAATAAATTAATGAATTTCATTTTACATAGAATAACTGTTGCCAATGTCACCAAGTGGAACAGAAACAGACAAGGAGCTTTACCCAACATTAATATTTAACCGTGTACTTTTTTCTTCTCCTAATAAGGGATGCGTCATATTCCAAGACAAATACAACTATCCCTGAAACAGGAGTGGAGCAGCCTTCTGGATAATGAAAGATCACATTAGTCGAATGTATACATCTTGGCTTTATGGGTCGACAGTGTAGGGAAATGTGTAACTTATGTTATTCAGGTAACACTTTATATTAAGGTACACACATTAACCATCAACTAGTTGCTAATTAACATGCATATTAGCAGAATGTTGGCTCTTTATTAGTCATTATAAAACACTTATTAATGCCTTATTCTACATGACCATATTCTACAAGTAATAAGCAATTAGTAGCAGTGCCGTACTGCCATGCTATTCAGTTCACTTTCTCCTACTTCCTGTACCCGGTTTCCTGTCTAACCTTCAGTACACATTTTACAAATATATAAAAGTGCA